TTGACCTTAGTGGAGCAACGCATGTAGGGCTGAGAAGAATACTTCGACGATCCGAAAACTGAGCTCCGCGGTCTACCATTAGCTTGGCTAACTGTTCAGATCCAGACTCTAACCTCGCAGTCGTTTTTGACGATACGTGAGATGCAGATGCTCCAGGTGGGAGAATTAGTCGGTACTTGCAGGGCAACTGCCACTGACAGTTACCGTTAACTCGGTGTCTGCCAGCCTGCGTCGAGTGATATTTTAAAAATCTCTTTTTAATGTTGGTGCCTATTCCTGAGGCACAAATGCCTAAAATCCAACCAGTGTCCACTTTACTAGCAGTGTTTTGCCATAACGGTTTCCATGGGATGAATGTTGGGTAGGTCTCCGTCAGTTCGATTGTTGTTGTTCGATGAATGCGGAGAGACAGGCTTCAGGGAGCAGTCCAGAAGAGGGAGACAGGATAACTGTAACGGTCGAATTTATCCGAACATCCGGTCGAGCCTCTTGCTGGACCGGGAATTGTGAAGGAAACGGAACCGAAACAGTACGATGACAGAGCCCTGATTTACTTGTTTTTTTCCTTTAAAGGTCTTTAATGTTGATTCGTTGATCGTCACTCGTGTAACGCCTCCTACCAAACTGTCTGAGACATCCAAATTTCTCCCCACACTTTCCACCTGTCGTCTCCATTCGTAATGTTGAAGGCCTCCGTGAGGTTCGCAAATGTGGTTTGGTGATTGATGCTCATTTCTTGGTATTTTTCTTGCAGTTCCTTGAGTGTAAAGTTCATATGGAGGGCCTGCAATCGTCCCCATGTTCATACTTATCCTCAAGAAGGAGTCTCCGTTGCAGAAGTAGATTTAAGCGATAGCTAAGTACTCAGGCGAAGATTCTGTCGGAAATATTGAAAAGGGAGATCGGCCGGCTATTGTCGCAGCCGTTTTTGCTCTCTTTTCGGTTTTGTGGATAAAGAAAATTAGTGTCTTTGAAATCTGGCACAGTTTCTGAAATGCCGATGTGGAGGGTTACCGTATTGATAATTTTATGATGAGGTTAAATCGATATCCGTGTGGTTTGCCTTAACGTCGTTTGCATTATTTTGCCCACCTCTTCTCCTTCTTCCATTTTACCGAACGCTTCTTACGAACACCAGAAGTAATTCACAAACGTCTACCAGCAGGATGTGACACAAGCGAGCTGTTAGTACTTAACCTTTTAAAACGTGAAGACCTAACGTGCGAGACAGTGAGGCACGCTTACTTTTTTACGTTTCCCGCTCGTTCTGGGTGTTACAAGCCAGTTAAGCGATCCAGGGTCTTTTTCAACCAGGCGGTGTTGAATTGCTGCTAGTGAGGCTAACATCCCCGTGACCGGGAATGACGCCTCGTGTAATAAGCACGGGAGGTGTCAGTGTCTCTTGCATGTACGCATCCACACATAGTAGTCCATGCTTTAGGGCCGCCAAATTTAACGGATCAGCTTGACCTAGTGACTCGCATGCGCTATGCAGACCACCGCGCCTTGATAAACCAGTCGTCAACTGCATTTTAGACCTCGTGCTTCAGTCTTTTGAGAAAGTTCAGGGCTGAAAGAACAGAAAACTGCATTTTTGGACGACCGCAGTGCGCTTTCAGAGGAATGGCTATTTGATCCATGCAGACCAAGTCCGGACATTTATTTGAAAGGTTCATAGTTTGAAACCGATCTATGAAAGAGAACAGCCGAACTCTTTTCAAAGAAAGCAATATGTGTTTTTGGATTATAGAAATCTTGCCAATAAAGATTAACCATCGCAATATTTGACCTCATATTGAAAAGCAAATTTTAAGAGTAAGAAATCTCCGTACATCAAACTACTTACTCGATGCAAGTTCTAGAGTGTTGTTCAAAAGTTGTGCTAGTCCCAACCCTGATTCATAGCTATAATAGGCAAAACACTTGCAAGGCTAAACACAGCGTTTAGGGTGATAGTTTTTGGCCGGAGTCATTTACTCAAAAATGACTCAAGAAGCCAGAAAACTTACTGCCTGCTGATTACGGTGATGAGCTTGTTTCTGCTATTTTATTTGACGTTGCGTGTTGTAAAACCTTCCTCCGAGAGAAATAATAAGAGGAAGACCTCGAGAAAACTTCCCTTTTATATATATTCCTACTAAATGGTCATGAGTGCGATTGCGAAACGTTTTTGACTGCGTATCTTCCTGCTCCTGACAAAATACATCGCAAAACCACCTGAACTCGTCAAATTAACCCCTACCTACAATGCTGCCTAGGTAAAAACGAGATTTATTAGTTATCTGTGCACCGAAATCTGTCCTAGATACAGAACCATCCGCATTGTACTGTGATGCATTTAAAACGAATATCGGGTTTACAATTCGATACCATGTTCATTGTGTACAACAAAATGCGGACAGATAAGTTTTGTGTGTTTCTCTTTTTAATAACTGTTTCGGCAATTTTGGCTGGCATCTGGAAGCCGCACACCCAGCGAAGTGAAACTTTTTTGAAAAATCTGTCCATTGACGTTTTCTATCCAGAGCGCAGTTCGAAATTCACCTGGAAGAATGGCGTTGCTTTGGGAGGGGGAAGGGGGAACGTATGAACTCTATGTCCTCTGTTCCTCTCGTAGAACCATTGGGACGGAATTGTAGCTTGCTCTTGAAGCCTGTTAACATCAAAAAATAATGTTTTTAAAGCTTGGATGGAACTGATCAAACAGTAAATTTAAAGAAAAGTTATGTTCCTTCAGGATTTCCGAAAAAATCTCTGCTTGCATCCTCAACTCTCCAGTTAACGCAAATGCGGGAGCTGATTAAAACCCAATTAACCAACGCCATCAAGCAAAATGTGTTTTTGGATGGATGTGCTGCAGAAAATTGAACGCTGGCAGGTCCGTGCTGCTTTCTCCCAAGGTTAGTGCATCGCGAGATGATACAAACGGTAGTCGAACAGTTCCGTCTGCGTAACCCTGGATAATTTGAGTTAAAAGTTGACGGGTGCGGCTTCGAAAACATTTATAGAGGGGCGCTCATCGGCCGCTTTACGGAGCTCACTTTTCCCGTTGTGTCTTTGGGCTATCTCTCTCTCGAATCCAACCAGCTGCCGCACATCAGTTACGGGGTAAGTCAGCTCCTTAAAACGGTCGTTGAGGGCCTCTCGACTATCGTATATTCCCGATCGCAACCGACAGGGAAACGAGCCCGCGGCCCAGTGGTTGGAGACGTTGGACTTCTAAACAACAGGTCGAGGGATCGAACCCTGATATTGGCTAGCTGATAACGGCTAATATGCCAGAAGTAGTCATTCCAGTCTCCTTGCCTTTGTCGGTAATGCTATTCTGCCTAAGCGAAAACATCGCTGAAACGACTACTTTCAGCAGAATTTACTAAACCCTGCACAGGAGCGTCTAGTTAGGCGACTTTGGACCTGTGCGACCTGCAAAGGGTCGCTTGCGCGCACAGTATCCATTTTCTTGGCTTCATTTCCGTCGCCATCAGGCTCAATTCATCTTTACCCAACTGTGAAAAATTCGGCGCCTCAGCGAGATTTGAACCCACGACGGCAAGGGGAAGGCTTTAGTACTGCCAACGCCCTAGCCACCTGAGCTACGAGGCCCCACCGGACGACACGAGTTTAATTACATTTGGGTCAGGCTCAATGTTGATGACTCGTGAATGCTATAAGCGAAAGGAAATGCACCGGATATGTAAAAGCCCTGACATCGAATGCAGACAGTAAATGCACTGTCCGAGTATGTCATAGGTAACAGAGTGAGTCTTTTCACGTACATCCGTCATAACTGTCAGGTAAGTAGCCGTCCCGGGACGACACAGAGTTTTTAACAAGAAAGTAGATCAAAGAGATGTTGATTGGAAAACTGAGTAATAATTTCTTTTGTTCGCTGCAATCCCAATCCAATGATCAGTAGATATACGGTCAACCAACTTCTATTTTAGATAGGGCATAGTTTCAGACCATACCGAGCATCTTCATGCTGCCACTCTATCCAGTGAGATGTACTTTTATTTTTTTGGATCCGGGCGGACGTTATCCATGGGCTGCTGCAGTTCATTAGGGTACGTTCGCACCGTAAGCTTTTCTCCAAAGCGCGCACCCTTCTTAATTGCAAATAAAGCACTGTCCTCTCATAGCAGTCAAAACAATGTCATTCTATAGTCAGGATTGATGCAGGACCATGCTGTTGACGCGCTTGGCCGATAAGAATTGATGCTTTATGAGCGACTGCGAAAGGACGCCCGAGTTGTTGTCGGTGTTTTGACGCGAGGTTGACTAGGAATATAATGGCCAGGAAACAACTTGCCACTGTGTACTGCAAATGCCGTCTGTTTTTGGTCTACACTCAAGTGCGCATTCAAAATTCCATCTCCAGCCTCATCGAACAACGAGTAAATATACTATCTTTGTTAATTGTGGGGTGGGGAGGCTACTCTGTTAGGTGGCACGATTTCGTCAACAAAGAATTCTAATGGATACAAAAGTTGAGGTGTCCTCGTCCTTAGCTTTGGCGTTTCTCAACAATGCGCCCCAACGACTGCAATGACTGGCGCTAGTTATAATCCTCGGTGAACAGAGCCTGCGTTGCGTCAGAACGGCTGAAAATATGCTACTTCCAACGACAAGTTTCGGGGTTCGAAGCTAACAGGGAAACCATACACATCCCTGATAACTACCCCTCCACGAAACTACATGGCCAACTTTTAAGTCCCTATGCTGTGGATATATACCTCGTGGTGCGAAAACAATGTAGCTTTCGGTTAGCAGGAGGCCTGTAGTAATTGTTAACGTTTGGAACAGTCAAAAGTCATACATGATAAAATAGTATCTTTCATATTGACTTAACTCTGAAAAATCCGATACCTCGGTGGGACTCAAACTTACGACAGCAAGTAAGGACTTTAGTACAACCAACGCTCTAACCATCTGATTCACGGGGTCCCACCGGACGACGCGAGTCTGAACACATTTGGCTCAAGTTTACCCGCCCAACCTACTGCAACGTCTGGTATTCACCAAATCTGATACAGTAAGCTGACTGCCCAAGCAGGATTGCCTAAGTAATACGTCTAGAATCCAGCAGATGACTACCAGGCTCACGTAATTCAGAAGTGTTTTGGCAGGAAATCCTGTTTGGGCAGTCAGCTTACTGTATCAGATTTGGTGGATTTCAGACATTGCAGCAGGTTGGGCGGGTAACTTGACCCAAATGTGATTAAACTCGCGTCCTCCGGTGGGGTCTCGTAGCTCAGATGGTTGGAGCGTTGTCTGCACTAAAGCCTTCCTCTTGCTGTCGAGATTTCGAATCTCCCCGAGACACCGAATTTTTCACAATTCGGTCAAAGTGAATTATTTGAGATCTGCCAAAACACCTCTGAACTATCGGTATTGTTACATTAGCGCACGACCAAGAAGTTCTGTCCAATTTACTTTGTTGTAGTCGGACGTGATAAAGGACTCGGGCACGGTGACACAAAGGACCTCGCAGTGCGCCCAGTGAATCTTACTGGAGGAGGACAGTTGGTTTGAAGTCCTAAACATGTAGTACCTTGTCTAGTACAACGTTCATAGGTAAGTGCACGGACGCATCTACAAACTCTCATCGGCACAATGTTAGCCATTTCATGTCTAAAGGGCTTGCAGCATAAGAAATGTGTGTGTGTTTCCGGTTCAAGCTGACGATCATGGTTATGAGAGCAAACAAGCACGAAACAATTTTGTATCAATCTACCCCACAGACTCTGTAGTCTCCCCTTTGCTATCATAGCCTGGCCAACTTCGGCCTGTTAGGTCGTTGCCAGCTCGTGACCCCTTTCGCTCATGCGAGGCTTGTTTGCTTCGGAAAGCCAGTGGATCGGTGTGCGCCAATTCCTGAGTGTATAAATACCCGATCTGCAACGACAGAGAGTGGCAGGTGGCGAGGCACTGATGTCGGTTCGATGAAGTGCTTGTGACCCATTTGGTAGATCCCAGTGGTAAACCAACTACGCCAGGTATGTCTGTACGCATGTTTGGGTTTCTGGTCCCAGCTGCTGGCTAGGATTATGGTTGGCTGAACGAAGGCAAAATAAGCCCGAAACAATACTGCATCAGACTACCCGCCCCCCCCCCCAGATTCTGCCGTCTCCCCTCCTCCGCTATAAAGATACTGTGGCATAGAAGATGGGCCTAAGTATTAAGATACCTCTCCAAAAAAACCTCAGGTACAATCATAAAAGCAGGACTCTTTCATTTCTAGTCTTTACAGCAGCAAAATGTGACTTCCAGGCTCCACTTCAATGCACTGACCAATTGAACTTTTTAATTGCAGGAATACACTGTACTTGGCTCTCCTTTTGAAATAATTAGAGTAAGTGGTCGGATGTGGTTATGTGGCCCCGCCTGAAGTAAGCAAACTCCAGTTAACTCTAATACGGGGCCGGTTGTAATAGGGCTTTTTATATGTGGCGCACAGGCGACGAGGTCAAGTAGTTGTATGCAGAAGAAAAGCCATTGGGAATGCGCGGTAGTACTATGAATGGTTGAGAAATAGCTGCGCTAACCCCTAACCATAACCCTTAACCCCAACCCCAGCAGTATTGTGTCCATCGAGTAGGGCTACCACACCACATTCTACCGGCTACATACCTGTAATTCACTTTATGGTAAACGGGGTGATTATCAGACAGCCTGAAGCTGCTAGCCATGGAGCGTAGTGTGGGTTTTATCCCATCCGCTCACACTTATTCACTTTTTCCGGACAAATCTTCGTAGTTCTCATGTGTACGAGCCTTCATTATCCGCACAAATTGCATACACAAACAGGGCGTCTGATGTTGTTAGGTATAAGACATTCCACTAGCTACAGTGGAGCAATGGGCTTAGAGGACATAAGCCCCTGGGCCATGTCATTTGAACAGCTAGACCGCACTGACTCTCCTGTCAACACGGACGCGTGGTTGTTTTTCATTTTTAATGAGTTTGCCGCTAGGCCTTCCCCCCGCCCCCCTCCCCCAAGTCGCACACAACACACCTGCTCATTTACATCTGCCGTCTTTGTAATGCAAGGCATGTTTTCGCACGCAGATCTGATGCGTGCGTATTTGTGAATCCACCAAAGGAAATTTATCGAGATTCAGCCTGGGGTTCAGTCGAGTCAGAGGGAATTTTCCCCGAGTTGGCGGCAATAACCAATTGCCCAAGACAGTTCGGCCGTCGATATTAACGATATCCACCCTGTGGTCCACGGTACGATGTGGTTCTGGACGGTGGCTTGAGCATGAACTAGTTTATGGTAATTGCGGACTAGCGCGACACCTGTCGCACGCCCTCCTCCCTCATCCACCTGTGCCCGATGATAGAACAGGGCCTGGGGCGACCGCAGGAGGGGGGGGTCGAGTGCAGTGACTGACATGGTTAAACATGAAGTGTAAAGCGAAATTCCGAAATGTGGCTTCGATTGGAAAGGATTCTTTGAGTAGAATCGTAAGACTAACTATCGCGCAGCATAGTCACAAGATGTTTCGGCCACGGCTTGTAAATAAACTTGGAATAATGTTTCAGATTTGCTGCTGTCGCAGCACCATTAAGGGGCCTTCTTTAAATGAAGGCACGATTTAGTACTTAACCTAGTTCTTCTTCTTGTTCTTCCACTTTTTCTTTTTCTTCATCATCGTTATCGTCACCACCACCACCACCACCACCACCACCACCACCACCACCACCATCACCACCACCACCACCACCACCATCATCATCATCATAATTATCGATAAAATGCCATTGACAAGAACCATGGTTGTTGGCTGGAGCAAGGAATGTCAGAACCCGGCGTTTCAGCAGTATTTCAGAAACCATCATTGGAGAAGCAATTCCCTGTTTGCACATTATACGGGGAGCAGTAATACATGAGGACTTTCAAGCACCTGATGATGGGCAGTTAAAGCCACTAACTTTGCAATGAACGTTCAAGGAAAGTCCGTCATCTAGAGTTATGCTGCCACCAGGAAACATTAAATCAAGAAAACACGAAGTTGGGCGATGTCAGGTATAGTACAGCGGCTGGCCTATCTCACGAGATTTTTCAATTTCCTTTGGAAAAGACTACGTAAGTAGGGTCGTAAGACTAACTACCGTGCAGCATAATCGCAAGACATTTCAGTCACGTCAGTATGCAGCCTTTTAAACGATCTTTTCTTACGTTCGAAAAAGCTACACTGTAAAAATGACTGATTGAGTGGTATTAATTTCCCATTGATTTTCGATGCCCTTATAAATTCCGATGAGTTATTTAGAAAATATGCATAAAAATATTCTTCCTTATATTTATTTCAGCGCAAAATAAGTCTCCACCAGATTTTCTGCTTGACGAGAAAGTATCCATAGGTTGTAAAAAGGCTTCTAATTTTGAGATTAATTTCGAACATGAGAATTCAATTCGTACAGTACCGCACCAGCACGTTTATTAACGCCACTTACAAAGTGGGCAACATGGTCAACATCTATTGCACAATTTTACAAGTCCCATATGACTCTTCCTGACAGCATAGAGAGACATGTATTGTAAATAACATGCAGTTTAGAAAACTCAAATGCAAGTGCAACGGCGGATGAGGCAACAAAATATTCGGGAATAGGAAATTTTTTTAAAAACCGAAAAATACTCTCTTTTCAGGCAGAAAATGTAGAGAAGGCTATATCTGCGATCGAATAAGGGCAAGATAGAAAATTTCTGTGCATATTTTCTATACGATATATTTAAATTTGTAAGGGTATCGAAAATCAGCGGGAAGAAATACACTGCCTAATTAGAACCTTCCTGCAGAGTGCAGTTTTAGCAGACGATTGGAAAGAAGCTCTTGTAAAGTCGGGATCCTGGTGCGATTGAAGTACCATGAGATTATACTGCACGATAATGAGTATTGAAACCCCACTTAAGTGATATTTTTGAACCGAAAACACATTTCCGAATTGCAGGCTAACATTTCACGAGATTGCACATGCGCTGTACGCGTGCCATACACATCCCAGTCTCCACGCCTTTCTGGAGGCAGCTCAGGTCCTACGTGAATGCGAGAGTCTTTGAGACTGACTATTATTCTTCGGATCAATCACTCCTCACACACACATACCGTACTGATCCTGCGCACCCAGTTACCCTTTTTAGGTGACAGCCACGACTTGCAACGCATCGTGAGAACTTCAGTGTGTACCAGACTTATTAGGAATGCGCTGACTTGTTGTCGGGACGTATTCCCTAGCATCGACTTCCTTTTCGCTCTCTCGCTCCCTCCCCTTTCCGCTAAATGCCCTAACTACACATTCGCACGAAGTATCCTCCGAGGTCACACAAGGGGTTAGTAAATATGACAGGCGGAAACATAAACGTTAGTACTACATGGCAAATGCTAACTGACCGCGCTGCGCCGCTTTATGCATAGTTTTACCGAGAAATAAAGCCCGCGAGAGAGCCAATCACTGCCAACGGTAGAGGAGTAAGTGCGCTAATGGATGTCGTAAGATCTTAAACATCGGTTTATGCTTAGGCTTATGACCGCGAAAGGGTTACTTTAATGTCTCCTGTCCACATCCGGCCGCGTTATGGCCCACCTTGTTACGTTTATCTCGGAGTACATGAGTTAGATAAGCTAACGCAGTAGCCATGGTCTCGCGGCCTGTAGTCTGCAATCAAGAAGGGTTAAAATTACACGGAACTGATGCCGCACTCATTTGAGTAAGGGAAGGAAATTTCGGGGCATAAGTTTGTGAGTATAGACGGTATGGCATCTCATTCGAATACTTGGTAACCGAGTGGATCCGTATTCAGATCACAGGTCGTTCGGGACTTGGACGAGGTTTTGACTGACTGCTGACGGCCAGTCAGACGCTATGAGCCTTCCCAGACTCCTATGACTTTTCTTGGTATTTTAACGAGAGAAAATACATGACTTCATTCTTTTTATCTTTTAATCCGGGTCAAATGGGATGTCATGTTTCAAAATATGCAAAAATAAGATGTTTTTTAGATCTAAACCACAGTCGGTTTCTAAGTGCCATCGTTAGCGAAGTAATTTCCTAGAATGTGCGTATGTGAGGTTATTTTTCCCTGTTTCGTTACCAATAAGTATAATTTGAAAATAATAGTCGCAAACTAGAAATTAAGGCTTGACTGGCTGGGCTCTCCAATCCGTTCTCGAAGTCATCATCAAAGCTACTTGGAACACAAAAAATAAAAAAAACCGGAAAGGGTATGACTTATGGCCGGGTTAATTAACCCTGAGAGCAATCGTGCTAAAAGAAAATAACTGGCGATATTTGTTTTTACGTGAAAGAGAAAGAAACAAAAAGACCACGCGTTGGTTGTTGAGTAAGGATGATCAAGAGACTTAAAGGTAGTTATCGGAGTAAACGTACGAAGATCCGATACCTTTTTGACAACGCCTATAAAGGTGCATTAAATTCATTTACTATTATCATCAAATAGTAAAAATAGTTATTCCTTTTAATTGGTGACAATACGGGAGAACAACATTTGTGATATCATGAATTTCTTAGATGTTCAGCTCTTTTGCTCAACCCAAATGCTTCCCGGAGTCAGTTACCCCGGTCATAAATCATACTTTCGTCAAAAAATTAAATTGTAAACTAATCAGTTAGTCCGCCTTAGGGCACAGCCTATGGCCGTATTAGTCGTCTTTGTAATCAGAAAGCGTGGGGCTGTACTGTGTCGCTCAGCCGGGGTACACAAATGGCGATAACTGAAGGCAGTTCAGATGCGCAGGTTTAGTCGTTAATGGTCATGTTGTGTATTTGCTTGCTGGTTTTGCGTCCGCTAATGAAGTGGCAAAAGATTTCAGAGGCTGTGTACGCCACAGAGTAAGTAACTGACAGTTCAACTGTCGCATCCGACAATGTCCACGTATACTCCACAGCCAGGTGAAGCAGGGACGGTGACTTGTATGTGAATTAGTTCATAGTGGTAGTGGACTTGCATAGCACCCATCGCACTCTCTCCTCCCCCTCCACCTGGGCCCGGTGTGAAGACGGGGTCAAGATGACCGGACGCGAGGGAAGGCGCAGGTGGGTGGCACGGTCGAGCCCGCACCTTGACACTCCACTCCACATCCCCTGGTCCACACAACAAATGACCAGGCTTCGAACCAACAGCAACAATGCGGGGGGATGGTCGAGGTCAGCCGACAATTAAGTCTGCCACCGCACCCCCCAAATGTTGGCATTTGTTATGACGCGCATTCTGAAAACGCCTGCCAGAATCCGGTCTGGCTCCCGTGTTGGTCGAACGCATCTACCACGTAGCCCGTTTACGCGACCGGCAAGCGAGTCATCATGCAGATGCGTTGGACTTGCCTCTGGCTAAGACTTGTTATTCAGCCAGGCCAATGAGCCTAAATCCCTTTCCTAGAGCTGCTCTTCATAATAAAAATCCATATTAAAATAAACAAGTACATTACGTGGTGGGAACTTATATTTTAAACTATATTCTGCGCGGTGATTTTTCCCATCCTTGATGCTGGCTCTAAAAAGCAGCTCAGAGGTTCAGTTTACTGAGCTATGGTTGTCAGTACTTCACAGTTATTCTATAACTTCAATAAGCAACCTGCATATCTAACTGAATCCACAGAGGTTCAGGAAGGCGATAGAAACTTACGTATTACCCAGGTAGTGCTTTCCTGAAATTTGTTTTTTTCATCGATTTGGAAAGCTTAGCAGCTAAGAGCCAGCAAGAACTTTCTTTGTGGCTTACCTCAGGCAAGTTCCTATGACAGTCTGTATTTACAGCCACTGCCTAACCACGCTCAGTTGTGTAAGTTTACTTTATTCATTTTTTGCAAATTTATACACTAAAGAGAGAACTGTCTTTGCAGACCTGTCAAGAAATTTTGACTTTTTAAATTAATTTAGTAGAAAGTCAGCTACTCTTTTGCATCCTTCCCAACGGGTTAAAGTGAATTAGTTGTCTGATGAAAATACATTTGCGTAAAAGTATGACAGCGGCAACCCGGCAACTGCTAGATCGAATTTGATTGGGACTTCGTCTTCCACCTGTAAAACATCCTTGCCTTCAGCACATTAACGCATTTATTTTAGACTCAGTCAGGTTAGAGGTGGTGAGTAAGCTTTAAAATCAGGTGCACTCTATGTGCTTTCCTTTGGGAAAATAAATAAATAAGCGAGCACTTAAATGCAGGACTCGATATATGCTCTACCCAAAACACTAACCTTGCATCCCAGTTTTATAATTTTCCTATGGCATTCCATTTCAACATCTAGCAATGACAGAGGGCCGCTTAGCCAATAAGAGGATGAGCACATCTGGATAGTTGCTGTAAATCAGCGAGAAGCGTACAATTAAATTACTATTGAGTACAAATATTGCCCTCAAGCTGGAAATCATGTGATTGATAACTTGTACTGAAAGTGTAAGACGCAAAGCCATTGGTAATGATATATTTTTAAACGATGAAGTTCTGTAAAAAGTGCAAGCCAGAGAATTTCTTTTTGCTAAAAATTCCAGAATTCTTTGCTTCAGCAAACAGTAGCCACAGAGGAAAGAGAAACATTTACCAATAAGTTGTGTATGCGGAATGCGAAAGTACCACGCAAGTGGGAATGCGTAACTCGTCTACTTAATAATGAGAAATAAAATGTGATTGGCGAAGTCGTTTCTAGTCTCTGTTAACTAAAAACTGTTTATGATAACTCTAAGAAAAGCGACATCTTTTGTAACAAGGAACTAATTTGGCCGAAAGGTCCTACCAACATTTGTTGTATGAGTTGTGAAATGAAGTGGCTCGTTTATATGTGAAGATTTCCAAAACCTAAGTTATAATGAAAGGCCGCAAATAAACGTCAAAAAATGTCGATTCAGGGTTTCTTTTTCACTGATTTGCTATTTGACTTTAGCTTGCTTAAAACGCCGATGAAGATCGCACATTTTCGACCCTGGGACAAAAGCGTTGAATTTTGTATGCGGCGTAAAGTGTTTTTCCGCCAAATCAATTTTCCTCAGAATAATTTAAATCTTGGGAGACGTTATATTTCACTATAAATTAGGACCAGCTGTAGGACGAAATTGTGTAGCGAGACTTCAGTAGGTCATAAAGGGGCTCATCGAAAATAATTTCAAGTGCTTCCTGTTCACAAAGCGGTGTCAGAATACTGTTCATCACGAATTTTTCAGTCAAATTTAGACTAACGTGTCCAGACGTGACCTCACGGCCTGTTTCTGGCGATAACTCAGCACAACAATAGACTTACATTCAGTTCCTAACAACTTGCCGGATGGTGTACGGTTTAATGCACTTTCTGTCTCAGCTGTGAGTCGCAGATATATAATTCCCGACCGGATTCACTGATTAATGCTACTGACGAGAGTTTTGTGAGTAGAGTAAACGCACTGAACTTTAATTGTATCATACGGTCGGATGATCTTAGATAAAAATCCCTTAAGCAGGAGCGTTTCAATGAACTTTTATCATTTCGCATGTCATGTTCGTTCATAATCTGTAGCCTCTTACTGACGTCTAAGGGAAAGTCCTCCTAGGCAAAAGTTCCCTGATAGGTCTTAACGACAAAAAGAAGGGAGAAAAATGGGCGCGAGTTTCGGACATTAGAGGTGGTCTTGTGGCGAATTCCAAAGGGCACCAATTCCTGTGTGCCAACCTGAAAACTAACCCTAATCCTGTGCCCCTTTTCTCGGGAAGTTAGTGCAAGGTCACCAGTGTTATGGAGGAGAGCACACCTATATTCCTGTGCCCTACCAGAATTTCCGGGGTTATCTGTCTTCATTGACCTGCATGAGCATAGGTCAAGACGACATGGACTATGAACTGTGATCAGTCGGTGATTGGGTATCTGAGTCGAGTTCACTGTTAATTGGGCCGCTGGCGCACATAAAATTGGGAATTTTTCCGCTGAAGTAATGGAAAGCTAATTCGAACTTTTTAGGCAAACGGAGCCCCCTGATACGCGGGTAATTGTTGCACTTTTTACAGCACGGCGTTCTTATCCGCAGAGCGCCGGTGATGTCCTGAAAAGTCAGTGCACTCAGTACGCATCGAACTCCCCAATTCATTGCTCAGGCTCCTTTAGCCGGTTTTCGCATGGAAGAAAGGCTTTTCGTCGGGGACTCGTAACAGCGAAAAGAATGAAGGGAGAGTGAGAGAGTGTGGGGGTAGAGAAGGTCTTCTCATCAACGTTTAGCACGGACAGTGCTTATAAATGGCTTTTTGACGGGAAATCATCTCGTTAACTGTCATCTCTAATATTCCCTTGGAAATGATCGAGGCCGCATTCGCAGGTGCCTTTTAAGGTCTCATGAGTTTCTGGGCATGCTGAGAATAACGCCAGTGTTTGGCGGTGACGTTGATGAGTTTGCCGATATTCTCTAACGTACAGTCGGTCAGTTGACGTTGGTTGCTCGAGAAAGGGGTTGTCAGGCAATAGTTTGCTCCTGGATATTACTCTCTAATAATATTTCAAAAGTATCTAGACTAAGATAAACGGGGAGAACCGTTAAAGAGCCCGAATCTGTCGCTGAGGAGCCGCTACTTTATTTACGTAATCGTTCCCCGTGCTTAGCCCAACCGTCCATCACACGTGTCCAGGGAGTATTTACATTGTTTAGACTACAAGTCTTCCCAGTAGGATAAGCCGAGTTTGACAAATCTTGAGTGAATCGGCGTAGAAATCGACAAAATTAAGTTATTTAATGGTTAATACTACTGAACCAATCATTTTGTACTCCACAGATAAGCCTGTCCGGTCTGAATGACTTGGAGGAAAGGTGGGCATGATTTACGTGCTCCGCCCACGCGAAAAGGCATTGGAACAGGAAAGGCTCCACTCTGAAAACAGGTGTTCTTGCGCTAGATTCGAGGAAAATGACCTGTTCATGTGTCAACTTTAATATTGATCTCTACCCCAACCTAACCTTAACCCCAGAGGTACCCTCAATCTTAAACCCATCCTTAACCCCGATCTCGACCCAAACCGTAACCTTAACTTAACCCTAACCCTAGCTCTGATCCTAATCCTAACTCTGATTTCCCTAAGACCACCTGTACTACGGGACGTTCTTTGTTCCATATCGTGTCGGTAGTGAGGGGGGGAGGGCACATAAGCGATCCCTACCGAAGAAAACTTGTGAATTCATTTGCTCTAAAGGGTTACTGTTTCTAATGTTTTGGCACTTTTAATTTTTTGTCAGATTTTTTTCCCCACTTTAAATGATACTTTCGTAATATTCATGCTGAAATAGTTCGGGCAAAAGACGTAGTATGACACGTTCGACAATGACATGATTTCCATTTGCTGGACGCAAAATGTTGCAAAATCTCTTAGGACTTTCTGATCTGACGTAAAGTCATGGCATTTTCCCGTTACCTGAAAATGATGTATTGGACTCTATTTAATGGTTGACATGCTACGGCTGTCGCCTAATCATATTATCTGTGGATTCCGCAATAACAAGGATCCGAGAGGCACTGTTCCAGTCACAAAGACTTCCGTAACTCCTCCGAATGTCAGGAGATGAATTTGCCCAGCGCCTACTCCGTAACAATGAGAAACCTTGTGAGAAATGCACATCTGAGATGTTTGCTAACATTTTCCCGGAAGCATTGTGAAGAGGTTTTCAAACAAAAGTTTACTTTAAACTTCTATCATTCTACTCTGACGTTATCTCAATTTTACTAAAGTTGCCTCACTCGGATGCCGGTAATAAGGAGTAATCGTATGAAAGCCTATTTTAAACCAGTTTTGGTATGCTCGTGAAAGAAATAAAAAAAGAAATTTGAACTTTTAAGCCTTCTTTTGACAGTTCCGCCCTAGACATACAAAACTTTCATATGCGCACTGAGTGGGGATTACACACAAACCGCCCCCATGCCCTTGGTTGTCAAGAGAGTGATTGTTTTGAAAAAGTCCCACTGGCCAGTGCCCTTTACTTTGTGACAACACAGAGTTACATACCGCCACAAATTACACCCAACTAAATGCACAAAAAGACCCGGCCCCGTTACAGAAGGCCATTAGTAGGGCCTTTTGAAGTTTATTCTGCCCACACCCACATCTTTCATTGCGCCCACTTGTCTCGCCTTTGGAAAGTGCCCTGCTTGCCCCAACTGAGGAGTATATTGACAATTGTAAGACAATCGGATATATAGTCCTTGTGAACTGTGGACTTACTCAAAAGTCCTGACGCTTGGGGTTTAAACGATGTAGAGCCCCCCTCCCCTGTGCAGCCACTGTATACGGCCAAGCTGAATACAATAGGCGGACTAACTCATGAGATGTCAACCGAAATTCCAAAAGGCGTTTTCCTTTTGAAAAGATTTATTGAGTAGGGTTGTAAAAGTGATCACCGTGCAGCGTAGATCTATAATATTTCAGTTACCGTTTAATTTCGGCTTTCAAACAAACTTATTTCCGGCTGCATGCATAAACTATACTCTGTAAAAAATGACTACGTAAGTTGCATGCATTTTTGTCATTGGTCTTGGATGCCCTTAAAAATTCAAATATATTTCATGGGAAATATGCAAAAAATATTCACTATTTCACTTATTTGATGGAAAAGTGTGTCGGCTTCCAATTTTATACTCGAAGGATGGGTGTAATTCGGTTTTAAGAAAGTTTCCAATTGTGAGTTTTTTAATATCGTGAAATGACCGTTCATAAAACGTCATGTCTCTGCATTCAAGAATGTGGCTCGTAAAGTTAACAATATGGATCAAATCCACTGTTAACTTTTATCAACCCCATGTGGTCTCGTCTGAATACCGTAAAGAAATGTGTGGTTTTCCGTACGCGGAAAATATACGGCTTGTTGTTTGGAAACCCTGAATGCAAGTGTTATGCCAAGTGGAGTTCAAAATTATTCGGGGGTCGGAAAAAGTTTTGAAAACCGAATTGTATCCTTCCTTTGAGTATGAAATTAAAAGAAGACGCAATTTTCTACCGAATGAGCAAAGGAATGAATATTTTTAAGCATGTTTTCCATGAAATATAATTGCATTTTTAATGGCATCGAAAATCAAGGAGAAAAATGCAGGAAATTTACGTAATCATTTTTTCCAGAGTATAGTTTTGCATACAGCCGAAAAGAAGTTCTTTCGAAAGCTGTCATCCTGAGGTAATTGGGTTATTATAGAATTATGCTAAATGATGATTGGTTATACAACCACACTTAATTAATCTTTTCGAAACGAAAACGCATTTTGGAATTTCGGTGGACATTTCCTGAGTTAGTCCATCTACTGCAGTTATGAAGTGGTACCCAAAAACGAGAATTATTTTCGGTAAGCAACTGCTCTGGTCGTGCTGCCCTCTTCCGCTAGGTACGCCTACTACTGTTTAGTTGGCCAAGTAGCGTTTGCGTCAACGGGCAGAATGATTGTTTTATCACATCCTCTCCGAACACTCTCGACAATTTTACGATGCCAGACGTTAAGCATCTTCACGCCAACAGAGTATTCTATTTCCTGTTCCTGATGGTTAGTTTTTTCGACATCAAAGGAGTTGCTCATGTTGAATCTGTTCCTCACGGCAAACAGTAAAGCAACACTTACATCTGCAAGTGCTGATGTGATTACGTGAGGCAGTAAGAAAAAAGACGACTTGAATTGTGGCGATCGGGAGACTGGCTGCTTCGTCATGACAAAGTGCCTTCCCGCAAAGGGTTCAAAGGCAACCAGCTTTTTTGGCGAAAAACGGCATAACAAAGGTTTTTTGCCTCCTTGGTTTAACGCCCTGGGACTTCCTCTTATTCTTTCAAATCCAGAAAGATCTACAGAGGAGGTATTTTTGCAGTGTACAGGAGGTTATTAAAACGTCGCTGGAGGCACTTTATCCCATTAATTCAGAGGAATATGAAAACTGTTTCAGGCAGTGGAACAACCGCTGGAACAATTGTACATAATTTACTAGACAGCGTTTTGAGGGGGTTCTCTGTCTTTAAAATATCACCTTAACAGGGAAAAAAGTAAATAGACAATTCTCGTTTTTGGGTACCCCCCGCATAGCCGTCAATCACGTTCTGTAAGGTGATGCTGACAAAATTCCAATAAGTAGACTGGTTGTCTAAGGCTTTCGTATGAGAGGAGATCACGCTGGTTTCCCACGCCTGCCCTTATGTCAAAATTTTTTAAACAGAATCCAGATAAAACTAGCAGTTGTTATACCAAGGACTCCGACGTAAAAGAACATCCGTTTACAGCCTGCAAGCAATCAATCTGTCCTTTAAGCTTCTCGGCTGAATTTCACTACTGCCGTTGCATGTAATGCATACAACGTAATGCTGTATTTGTCATCTCACACCGATTTCGGACGATAATGACCGGAAACTACATTTTTTACTAGAAATATGCGTTCACCGGAAGGGGGGTGTATGTGACCGCATTGTCATGGTGTCTCGGCAGATTTACACGCAAGGCGGCTTTTGGAAACTTCAGGCCACAATTATCTCCAAGCGAAATGTCTAATTTCCCGCTGTCTGTTACTTGCAAATGAAATCTCTTTTAAGGTCGCCTTTTTTCTCAGTTAAAGCCAAATTTACCGTAGCCGATGAAGCGTTAGCTTTATTTCCTAGTGTTTGTCCACAGTAAGCGCTAACCGTAACAGTCAACCTCAATTTAAACGATGGTATATTGGGCTAAAATATAAGGTTCGATTTTAAATAAGAAGGAACAACAGTTCTACTGACAGGCCACTTCAAGCACAACAAACCTCCACAATGGGTGCTTGCAGGAAGGGACATCGAGGCTTAATTAACAAAAAGGTGTGTCCGCAACGGCGGGTTTTGGTCCTAAAGTTAACAAGGTTATTAAGTATTGGCGGGCACTTCTCAAGCGTCCACTAAACTAGCGCGATTTTCTGCCGGGGAGAGGGGGAAGAATGTGCTGTATAAGGCAGCCGACTGCGAATCTCCAAATCTAGTGCGCGCTCTTCTAAATTCGCTCCATAGAACTCGCGTGTATAACGCGACCAACTGGCAGTCAGTCAGTTGTATGTTGACTGCAAATTCACACTACTGTTTGTGTCTGTGTGTACACAAACCAGAAAGAGCTGGGTCATTCCTTTTGGTGCAAGGTATACTTGGAAGGTGGGATATCAGGAAACCGGTTGATCATTGAGCATAAACTCTGATGGCGGAAAATGTTCACTTATAAACGCGCCCCTACTCATGTGCGTTTTTAGAAGTCTGCGAGACTTCGACTGACCCACTTGACCGCCAGTGCTTTCCCAAAGGGTACAGTGATTAGTAATTGTAGATGGACGCTCACTGAAGGTGTTACGGTACTCACTCGTTCCGTTTTGCCTCAGGGCTCAGTCTCAAGCTTCGTCAGAAGCCTCTTAACTGCTTGTTTTATTGTCAGAATGATATTGCTGGCAGAGACCAGGGAGACTAGAATGTCCATTTCTGGCTTGTTAACAGTCATCAGCCAGTTATACCTGGCTCCGAGGTGTGCAAACACCGAGTCTCGGTGGTCAGAATTTTGGATTTCTAACCAGCACGTCGCGGGTTGAAGCCTCAACGGTTGCAAACCTCAGAGTTGAGTGTGACTGACTGATAACGGTCAAGAAGCCAGAAATGGCCACTCCAGTCTCCCTGGCTTTTGTCGGTAGCGTCATTCTAGCAGTGATCAATCTAAACACAGAAGGTCGACTGTCTGAGGCAAAAAGACAGGGGCGAAGAATCGATGCAAGATCCACGCGTATACTATTGTTGTGTCTGCGAAGTCAAATTTTTGGTCGCCGGTTTCGAGATAACGGTCTAAAGCACACGAGAAAAGAGGAGGGCTCAGGGCCGCTAAAAAAAACTTGCGGTTAAGTATGCTCTGTTGAAGAAGAGGATGAAAACCCCAGGCGGCAACTCTGTATGGCTGACCCCTGTTGAAATGATACAGTATCCATCTCCTTCATTGACTACTCATCGCAAGTTCAACTTATTTTGTAACACGCCAGTAAGTACAGAAGCGCACGGGGGTGTCATTGTGCATTCGTTATTTTTTTCGGGGAGATATTGCCTGAGGAGGGCTTTCTCCAACTTTTTTTAACCCGAGCCTAATAGAGCTAAATCCCTGGTCAGCGGTGGTCAGTCTTCTCTGAGGTACTTCCTCAGGACTGAGGCTTTGGAATCCTTTATGCGCCACCCTGTCAGGTCCGACCCAGCGCATGCTGAGGCCGTCATAATTAGCAGACCACTAAAGTGGAAGGTTCGACTATTCGGCTACTTAACACTAGCCGGCTATGCTTCTTTATCCTTCTGAGGGGTAAGTTGGTCAGAAGGACCGATTTGACGAGGTCATCCAATTCGTTGCATGGTTCCAATCTGCTAAAAGCAGAGATTCGGAAGTTACATTCACGTTTTTGTTTTATCCTGGATGAGGCAGAGGACGAAGAAACATTCAAAGCACACATTGAACACCTGGAGCATTGTGTTTCGTCTTCTCCAGTCCCATTGGAAACCTTAGCAGAGGCAAACAATTTTCTTGACTAGTTTCTGCACTCGTAACGTCTCGACTGTTATCTGTGGTTATGGTGTGCAAAAAAACATAAAATATTCCCGATTCCGACACATCATTAATTTATTACTTGCGTACAGTCAGTGGTTCGATAAAGGCACATATCGTTAGGCCTTGGGCACTCAGATCAGCCTTCATCCAGGGGAATCAATAATCAGTTTATTTTTGCGATGGCTCAGAAGGTCGTAGGCCCGTCTACTTACCAGACTGCAAATCATGCCGTTTAATGATCACCGAGATGTTTTAGTGGAAACTGCCGCGAGAAAGGGGAATTTAATCCTAATTAGAATATGAATGACAGCGTCTTGCGCTTTGGAATAATTCTAAACCGACGATAATGTAAAGTCAGGCGAAATGAAAACAAAATGCTTTAAGCCAAACACTCACAAGCTCCTCATGTGCAGATGTTGGATTGGCCCGCGGGTACTCGGAATTCAGATCAGAGGACGAGGCCCCGGCAAATAAAACTGGACTAAGGGCATCGTGAGAAGAGGGTGAGTGAATAAAGGGCTCTGAGGTCTGCTGTGGTTTGCCGACCGGCCGGAAAGTGGAGGGCATGTAGTCAGTTTCAGGGGGCGGTAGCGGTTGTGCTGAGTATCCGTGTACCTTCTGGAACTCTGCCCGGCCGTTCGGTCCGAGTGTCAAGGGGGAGGGTGATGAGGTTTGAGCGATAGCGCAACCCCCGCTGTCCAGTCCGCTGTCGCTGCCACCACCGCTCATGGTGATGGAACCTGCGACCTGGTAGTCCGCCGCCTCGGTGTAGGCATACTCGTAGGGTGTTCGAGCAGCGACCAGATGCGGTGGGACGTTGTTCGCAGTCTCCGCACTGTTAGCCGGCACTTCTTGTGGCCCCATGCAGCGTCGAAGGGAGTAGGAGAACGGCAGAGTCGTTACTTCATGAAAGGGACCACTGGAGAGGCAGTCCGTCAGCCGACGTCCCGAGAGGTCATAGACATCCCGGCGATAGGAGGCATAGGCCGGCAGCAGATGCATGTCCTCGCTGGCAATAGCGGAATCCACACAGTTGCTGGACGTCTCCACACCCTTCATGAAGACCAGACTGTTGGGATCAAGAAGACGCAACTCCGATGACTCAGTGCTGTTACAGTGAATGGCATCTAGAAACTCAGGCCTGTTCCACTTCATGCCGCTCAGAGGTTTGTACACCCCGTCCATGTTACCGTTCTCGGAGTTGTCTGCCGACGCACTACTGTTGGCTGGAAAGTAAGTGTTAAAATTGGTGTGGAATTTCCTCCCACCGTTGCTGACCCCGCCGTTTTCCGTGACGGCTAGACGTGAGTGGTACCGAGACTGACCGCTGTCCACGCGGAAACGAACCCAGAAGATGGCTGCAGTCAGACTGATCACCAGGGCGAAACTGCAGACAATAATCAGAATCAGAATGATGGAATTGCTCAGGCCGGCCTCCCCTAAGCCGAAAACGGAAAATCCAAAACCCCGATTCGCCGCTTCGCTGATGTTCACGTAGAATATGGCTGTGGTTACTTGTGGCGGATGACCGTGGTCTCTCAGTTCCACTACCAATGCAAGCAGTCCGAGAGGAGGTGGTTTGGGAGAGTAGCTACCACGTGACTCTGCCGAGTTGGTTGTGTTTACTTCGCTTAGCTCTGCGGGTTTGGAGGAGGCATGGTTGGCCTTCTGCCAGGATGTTCGTAGATGGCCCAGCTTCTCGTCAAGGAAAAAGTATTCAGCACCGTCCAAAACGAGTTTCCGCCTCTGCAGGGGATTCACATGAATGAATGGAACGCCTTTAGCATTGGTGTTCGTAGTCTCTTCCCCTTGGGTGTACCACAACTCATGCGGCTCTGCTCTTCGTAGCCGGAAAGAAATATAGGCGTTGTCAGCGTCGTCGATGTCCCTGGCACGCAGAGTAGTTACTAGGGTATCCGGTGGTGTGTCCACGGGAAGAGTACCCGTGTCCTCCTGTCCCCAACCAGTATGGTCTAGAAGCCCGGTTAGAAGGCTGGCGTTTCGAGGATGCAGTAGTTGAGGAGCGTTGTCATTCACATCATCCACGATAACGGTGAGTGTGGTTGTGCTGGTGAGCTGCCGAACACGTCCAGAATCCATCGCGATCAGGCGGACCAGGAGGCGAGAGTGAGTTTCTCTGTCTAGGCTTCCAGTGAGAACAAGTTCCTGTCCAGCAATCAGTGAGAAGACACCGTCAGAACTGGTCCGCTGGGGTTCATCCTCCATGTCCGATGAGCGTAGACCATCGTAGGAGCCATGGGGCGAATACTGACTGTGGCCACCGAAGAAGACCTTAACGGTGCCGTTTTCTCCACTATCTTTGTCATAAAACTGGAGGTGGGGAACTACAACCGTGCCGGCTCTTGCATTCTCAGCTATGTGTACTTCCAGCGGACCTGTATAGACTGGAGCGTTGTCGTTGACATCCAGCAGGCGGATTGTCAAGGTGGTGGTGTTCGTTTTCCTACCTCTGTGATCAGCAGATTCACCGGGTTCAGTCATCTCATCTCCGGCTCCCCCATCAGCTGCAGTGACGCGAAACATCAGCGTGTCCGACTGTTCTCGGTCCAGTTCTCCCTTGGTTAGAATAAATCCCGTCTGAGGGTTAATTTCTACCAGATCAAGATTAGCTGGGACGTCCGAGGTCAACCAGTAGGTGACTTTACCATATAAACCCCTGTCCTTGTCAAAGGCCTGAATTCGGCCAATCTCCGACTGCCTGGGGAGGTTTTCGTAGACGGCGAAGTGGTAACTCTGACGCTCAAAGGCCGGCCAGTTGTCGTTTAGATCCTGAAGAGCAATCGGAACAATCGCCTCAGAGGAGAGTGCCGGCGAGGCATTATCCATACAGGAGATTATAACATTGATATTCCCCTCTTTGTCCGCGTCCTCCTCAAAGTCAAACGCTCGATTATTGAAAAGACCATAAATAAGGGGAGTATATTCGCGCAGGGTAAAATCCCTCCTCTGCTGTCTGGAGTTTCCCAGTGAGCAGGTTACTTTGCCCGCGGAGACTGCATCCGCATCGGACACTGAGATAACCTTCAGAAGTCGGGGTTCCGCATCATTCTCCACAAGATCCGGTTCAGAACGGAAACCCATTGGGCTGATTGTCGACTTCTCGCCGGTACTGCCGGCAGCCAAGCCCGCTCTTCGAACATCTATGAGGGGCGGATTGTCGTTTGTGTCGGTGAGAAGGATAGTCAGGGAGGTTGTGGCAGACAGTGGCGGAGTACCGGCATCGCGTGCGACAATTTTGAGAACAAATTTTCTGTCGTCTTCATTTTCATAGTCTAAAATGCCAAAAACTGTGAGAATGCCAGTTTCTTCGTCCAGGGTCCATTTATTTAACTGACTGTTACTGCGTGGGTAACTGGAGGCCCGGTCAATGATGTAGGTTACTTTGGCGTTATCGCCCACATCAGCATCCGTGGCGCGGAATGTGTACACCACGTGACCGAACTCAGTATTTTCTGGGATCTCTATCGAGAGATCGGAGCCCTGGCGAGGCTGGATAAACACTGGCGGATGGTCGTTAACATCGTCCACTTTTACTTGAAGCAGCAGAGTTCCCGTGAGAGATGGAGTTCCCCCGTCCGATGCACGAAGCTCAAACCAATAGGCGGCTTCTCGTTCTCGGTCCAAACTCTGCGACACAACTAGGCTCAACTCTCCGGCCGGTAACTTTGACGTCTGCTGAACCAGTCTAAAGTCATTGCGCTGACTCTTATTCGCATTCGGACGAGGGATGCCACGAAGCTCGTAGGAGGCGACTCCAAACTCCCTGGAGTCGGGGTCATGAGCACAGGGGAGAGACAGAGGCGTGCCGATTTTGACAGATTCAGAGACAGAAAGTTGAAGGTAGGGGAGACTGTGGTAGTTGTGTGGCAGCCACCCGGGCAACTCATCTGGCTCACCGTGGCGTAAGTCGAAACTCGGAGGATTATCGTTCTCATCGGAGAGAGTGACGAGAATTTCAATTACAAGGGGCTGGGGGCCGGAAGTGAAAAAGTAGGCCTCTGCTCGCAGTGTGCAGACCGCCTGTTCACAGCACTTGAGCTTTGCACAGACTAAATCCCGATCAATGGACAGTTTGGTAAACAAATCGCCGTTAAGCTTCAGCTGAAACTCCCTGTCCGGCTTGAGCACGTGGCTGTGAAATGTCTGGTCGTAGGAGGACATGCCAGGAATGTGGGTGAACAGATTGCCCAGACGGAAGTTGGGCCCTGTATTGTCGCCGAGAGACAGCTGTACCTTGTAGTGCTTTTGGCCGAAGGTGAAGCTGATGGAGAGCGTTGTCAATGTTGTCCATATGAGAATTAGCATAGTGAGCAGTCTGCTTGTGTTCTTTAAAAAGAAGAGGCGCGAAAAGACGAGCGCGCCCTGAAAATGTCTGACCTGTAAGTGAGGTCGCCTGAAACTAACCAACACAGTCTGCAGCTGCTAGCCCGCTGGCTAGGCTTCTTTGCTATTGGTGGGTGCAGTCGTTTTGTCATCTCCAAACCCGCCTCCTGTCAACCAGTCAGCATCCATCCAGCTGGTCACCCCGTGCAATGGACGTTCGCGCATGTTGAGTAGACTGATTGGCTGGCGTTCTCTCCGGCGTGCGCTATCTGTTGCAAATGCCGGCGCAGTTGGCCCGTGGCGATGCCACAGCATGACGTCTGGCGGCGAGAACGGAGCCCTGCACCGGGTAGTGCCCGCTTTAATCTCAAAGCACAAAAATTTCCAAAGAGTCCGGGTGGCATAAAATGGCCTGGACACCCGATAGGCACTTCAGACGGACAGTTTCCAAAAGTACAATTCAAAGGAGACGCAGAAAAGGTTATGGGGCCGGAAAAGTACTCGGAAGTAGTTTTTAGTCGAAATTCATTCTCTCACATAACTCCCCCCCACAAGGCCACAGTCATGTCAAGATCTTTCACCTTGCCTTATTTTTTGATAGCCCAGAAAGAGTACTTTTTATATGTCCACCAGGAGTTCACTTGACCATTCCTCGTAGCCTTCTGCCCACCAAGGAGGTAGTTGAGTCATTTCATGTGCACGCATAGTAACCCCAGGCAGATATTTGCATAAACATCTTAAATAAATAGTAATCAAGGAAATCCCACCGTATGATAACGCAATGTCCTCTGAGTTCTACTCATGAAGCATTAGCAGCTAATCAAATTACGCGGAACCTTGTACACATCGACTCCAGTGATTGTTATGCAGTTCTCGGAAGTCTAAATTACAGTAGGTGGGTTAACTCCTGAAATGCCAACCAAAATTCCGAAATGTGTTTTCGTTTCGAAAAAACTTATTAAATAAGGTTGTAAAACTCATCATCAAGCAGCATATTTCTATAATAATTCAGTTACCCCAGGATGCCGGCTTTCGAATGAACTTCCTTCCGGAAGCATGTAAAAACTACACTCTCTAAAAAATGACTGCTTAAGTAACATGAATTTTTCTCACTGATTTTCGATGCCCCTAAATGTCCAATTATACTTCATGGAAAACATGCATAAAACTACTTATTCTTTCGCTCAATCGGTTGAAAATTACGCCTTCTAATTTTATACTCGAAGGAGGGACATAATTCGGCTTTAAAAAATGTTTTCCAATTTCCGAATGATTTTCGACCCGCCCTACCGTCACACTTGGATTCAGGGCATCGAAACTACAAGCCGTACATTTTCCGCCTACGGACAACCAAACATTTCTCTACGGCAATACAGGGGCATCATATGGGGTTCATAAAATTTGGCGGTGGATTTGATCCATATTGCTAACTTTACAAGCCACATTTGTAAATGCAGAGACATAGCGATTTATGAACGGCCATTTCACGGTATTTAAAAGTCCCGTAATTAGAAACTTTTTAACACCGAATTATGTCCCTCCTTCGAGTATAAAATTAGAAGAAGACGAAATTTTTTACCGAATGAACAGACGAATGAATATGTTTATGCACGTTTTCCATGAAATATAATTGGATTTTTAAGGGCAACGAAAATCAGTAAGAAAAATCATGCTACATAAGTAATCGTTTTTTAAAGAGTGTTATTTATGCATGCAGCCGAAAGGAAGTTCATTCAAAAGCCGGCATCCTAAGGTAACTGAAATATTATAAAATTATGTTGCAGGCTGACGAGGTTCACAACCCCACCTAATTAGTCTTTTCGAAACGAAAACGCACTTCAGAATTTCGATTGACATTTCATGAGTTAGCCCACATACCGTGCTTCCGCCTACCTGCATTGATCACCTTTTAACTTATCTTGTTTTAAGACAGGATTTAAGATAATTTTTAGACTCGGTTTTTAACCTCGACTCTGCCCGAAGCTTACTAAGGTCTGTGTTTTGGCCTTAGAATACGTGTCTGGCAACTGTGTCGTTGACGGCTGACAACTGGGACAGGGATAAATGAAGCAGGAGCATTCGCTATCACGTTTGAGATCACGTTGATGGGCGGAAGGGTGACAGCCCGGAAATGATCAGCGGTTGTCACCCCCATCTTTGACGTTCCATAGGAAACTCCTATAGAAATGTGCGCTTTGTTTTTCCTTATAATTTCTTCAACCGCAATAATAGTTCTAGACGAACTGCAATGCGCTCCACCGGAAATTATGAAAAAAATTCTCACTTTTCTCAGGAATGGTATTCTCTTTGCATTTCAAACAAAAGGGCGAGGTTTTGCTTTGAAGCCTCACCTGGGTGATAACAAACGGTTACTTTTTCAAAAAAACTTTTTGTAGATGCGAATATGCTGATTTTACAAACATCACGCATTCGCATCTTTTTTACAATTTTAATCAAACGAGTAACTGTGTCACGCGGATGAGGTGCTGACAACGATCTGGTGAAGGATCCCAAACACACAGCCAGTCAAAGGTGCCTGTCTTACGGGAATAGGTGGCAATAGGGGTTTTACGGTCGGGGCTTATACATGCATAGAGGAATGGCAAAATAAGTATAGGTAATTTGTAATTTCGTTTTTCGGGCGGAAAAGTTTTAATGCATTGACATATAGAAGCCGAAATTAAGCAGGACAGTTAAAAAAAGTAGCGTGTCTACACGATCGCTTCTCAACTCTCTGAGCTGAGGTCATTGTAGATAATGCACCAGACCGCCTACAGCAGACGACCCAACCTTATGGGATGAAACACCAAACCAAAATAATCATGCCAGAAGACGAGGTGACGAGCATACCTCGCTTTCGTGAAATTCTCGTCGGGCCAGTACATTTTTACGGGAAAGGGGTAGAGGTAAAAACCCGTCAGTGATAAGATAAATCGATTAAAGATCGCCTTAAAACACAGGCTGGATGTGGAAATGTGGGGAAGGGGGGGGGTAATAGCAGTCAGTGTCAGGTGCGGGGTGGGAGCGGAAGGGCGCGGGGAGGGGGGTTGTCGTGTTAGTCGACCTTCGACCGTTGTAGGCGCGGAGCCTGAACGTGGTTCTTCTGTGCGCACACGATTGGTTTTCGCAACCTAATGGCGGCCGCCTCCGCTGTTGCTAACAGGAGCTGTCCCTGTAGTTTAGGGTAGCTCGATGGGACCTCATAGACCATGCGAAACGCTTAATTGGGGTCTACATGATGTCCGGAGTCGACAACATGCTCCAGAATGGCGCTGCTTATGCTCCTAGTTTCGCCTTTTCCCAATCATGTCGGGAGGTGTTTCCGTATTCTCCTGAATAAGCGCAGACTCGTGCGACCAATATAACCTGCTCCACAGAAGCGAGTGAAGGAATAGATGCACATTGAAGTGGCCTGGGGTGGCAACTTATCCTTACCTTCTCTGCGTAAAGTAGGGTTAGTGAAGAAGGATACTTGAACCCTTGCCGCCGGGAAGGTTCGCGAGACAGCTTGATCAAGGCGTCTCTCTAGAAGTTCACTCGCAGCGTCCCCTTGAAAAGGGACTTTAAGGTACAGAGTTTTTTTTCGGCAGCCAGTGCGGTGGGTTTTTCGGGTCGTTTGGCAAAGTTCTTTTCAATAAACCTGTCAGAAAAGTCCAGGACTTGCTTCGCGAAAACGGGTATCCTAAGTTCCTCCTCGATGTTATCTGTTGAGCAATTTTTTCTAATTCATCGTGCCAAACATCGGACTAGATATCGTTTTTGTTTTAGGGGTATAAAACCAGTGTAGTTTGTGTATTGTCCAGACCAGGTTTTCATGTCAGACTAAAACCCACTTAAATAAGTATAGTAGGTATTCTTTGTATGCCGCAGGTGCTTGGGGCCTTCATCGGATCCTTACCGGAGTGCTTATACGCCAGCCTCGGTTAATTCAGGTATCAGTTCACACGCCCTTCTCTGCAAGTGCTTCGTCCTCTGTACTGCTCTTCTCCAGCGAGTGGCTATGATGACTTGTTAATGGAATTGTTATTACGGCGTGGAACTCCGTCGGTTCCACTACAGTGACCATGCGCTGCGAATTACCACGCGGTACCCTAAGTGTCCTTCCAGTTGTGATTGCGCCCCTATAGCCTTTTAATCCAGCGAGTGGCTGTGTCGGAGGAGGGCAGAGTGTGTGTACGCCACCTTCACTCGCTTCCCTGCGCGTGCTTCGAGCTCTGTTTGCGCTCGCTTCCCCCTCCTAATGCAGCGAGCGGCTAAGTTAGGTATGTTAAGCAATATTGTTTTAGAAAGCTAGCCACATAGTATCACTCAGGTGGGGCTGCAGAACCAAACCTCGCCCAGGAAAAAATATATGAGCAGATAGAATTCCGAGCACCTTAAAAGTATTTCGGAATTAGCTGCTATGGTTGTGTGCATGCTCTCATGAGCCATAGTCTGGTACAGCTAGTAATATTTTTTGCCCACCAGAAATATTACTGGCTAGGCACAGTTTCCTTTTCTTTTATTATATTCTCCGTGAATAAAGACTGAGGCCGACACTGGGAGGGGGGACTAATACCCACGGCAGATGGGGGCATTCCTCACGTTGCTAAATCTGATGCTGTTGAACCTATCAGGGTGCGCGAAGAGTCGGGGCTTGAAGGACTGCCAAATAATCCGATCCTTCAAGGGACTTAGGCTTCTACCGCAATGGCTTCTTCTAAGGGCGGTGCTTGTGGCACTCTCACCCGTGTGAGACTCGAGCCACCTGGCGCGCCTGGGGTGGAGACCGGGTCAGTGTGTGTCCCCAAAACGGGCCACGCGATAGATGCGCCGGACCGACACGGGGGCCATATTGGATTCTGGCTGGCGTTATCGGCATGTGCACAATGATAGGTGCCGACGTTTCGGGTGGGGGGAAGGTGCGGTGGCAGACCCAGTTGTCGGCAGACTTTGCGCGCATTGGGACCCCTGTCGTCCCCCCCCCCCCCTCATTGTTGCTG